AAGAACGAATTGCAAAGAATAAAAGTGGAATGAAATTTAAGCAAGAATGAAGAGCTATGATAATCACTTAAATCGAATTAAATGCAAAGAAATTACTATGAATAAGAATGCAAATCATGGTAAAGAAATAACGAGAATTGTACTAGGAATTAATCAACTAATAGAAAGTTGAATCAAAGCTAGAAGTGAATTTAATTAAACTAAAAAGAGCATGATTTAGAAAAAAAAATTCTATTGATGCGATTGATTGTGAGGTGCTGAAAGAAGAAAAATAAAAAATCCTAATACAACTCTAAAATAACAAGAAAAACCTATCACATTGTTAAGATAAACTATACCACTACAAGTCGAGACATCAAGTAACTCATTGTCCAACCTTCCTTTGAATTCCTTCAATACTAGAACATCCATGTCGTGTCACCACTGTCAATTACAACCCTTTCCCGTGTCACTGTCCAAAAAGGTGTCAATATTAATTTCAACACAAACTCGTTTAACTCGTATCGTATTCGAGTAGTATTGAAAAGTCATGTCAAACTTTGTAACCCCTTAATCATGATATCAAATAAATCATTTTTGCCCCCAAAAGTTATTTTATTCTTTTGTTTCTTCTCCTTTGTTCGTTGCTCAGTGGGCCTACTAGCTTGCTGCATTAGACCTTGGGGTATAGCCCAAGTAATTTGTAATTAGTTACTTTTTTATTATAATAAATTACCAGGAAAAAAAAAAATTTAATTAGACTTGGTCGAATTATATCCTTAATTATAACAAGATTGTAACTCATATTAAATAAATTATTTTTGCCCCAAAAGTTATTTTATTCTTTTGTTTCTCCTTTGTTTGTTGCCCAGTGGGCCTACTGGCTAGCTGTATTGGGCCTTCGGGTATGACCCAAGTAATTTGTAATTAGTTACTTTCCTTTTTATTATAATAAATTACCAGGAAAAAAAAAAAAATTAATTAGAGTTGGTCGAATTATATCCTTAATTATAACAAGATGGTAACTCTTTAGGGGAGTGGAGGACAAATCACTCAAGCCAAGGTTTTACTTGATGGAGTGTGATATATAATTGCATAATTGAAACTAGTGAACACAGTACTAAGATTTTATAAAATTTAGAGAAATATTTTAAATTCATCTTACGAAATTTATTTTTATTTATATGTTAGAATTTTCAATTTTCATGATTAGAGGGAAGACATTGTTGGCTTGAGCTTTATAGCATAAACTATGTGTAAAAATTTGGAGGACTACATAATATGCATTTAATGAGAGAAACATCAAAACCTTCGTGGGAGAAATTTTCAGTTTTTTGTGTTTGAAGACTAAAGAGTTATCAAGAGATGTATAATTTTTAGTATATTATATATATTATATATGTGTGTAGGTTACGCTTTAAATTAAATAAAGGAGGCGATATTTGTACTATATTTTTTTACACTCGCATGCTACCTATATATATATATATATATATTTGAAATAAAATAACAAAAAGGTAAAACTCATTGTAGATACTAAAATTTAGCGGGCTTTGGTTTTAACGAATGGACCAATTAAATATAGGCCTAATGTTTAAATAAATTATTTAATTTACCAGGCTTGGTCTACTTAAATTATTTAATTAGCCCAGCCCAGATAATTAAATGAAACAATAATTATTCCTAATAAAATATATTTTGAATAATTATCTTTAAGGATAATTATCACAATATAACCGGCCCGGCCCAGTTATAGTTTTATCCTTATCAGGAGATGACACGCGTCATCATCCTATTAATCCAAGAAGCCTATAAATAGAGGCCTGGAGGAAGAAAGGGGGAGGATTCAGAATTCAGAAGTCTACAAATTCAGACACAAATTCAGCATTCAGAAGTTCAGAGACTCAGAAATCCAGAGACTCAGAATTCAGACACAAATTCAGAATCGAAACCCAAAAGCGAAGAACATCAAGCACATCCAACAACGTGCCGTTCTTCATCAAATTCCACAGTGATTCAAGAACAAGCTCGTGCAGCCCTTGAATCCAACCAACCAAAAACAAGGAGATCGAATCAGAGGACCATTCTTTTTTTGTAAAAAATATTACAAAGGACTGTACTCCACATTCATAAATTAATAAAATTCTATTTTGCTCCATATTTTGTTTCTATTGCTGACTTACAAAATTTGTGTGTACAAATTTGTGGCACACCCGGTGGGACTACCTTTGCCTCTCATCTCTTTCTCCTACTATCAAGTTTCTTCTCTATCAGATTCTATGGCTCCCCCTAAGATTCAGATAGACAAGAAAGCCCAAAAGAACATCGCTATTGCAAAGGGCGATGCTAAAGCCACCATGAAAAGTGGCACGAAGACCAAATTAAGCGATGGAAGTACCTTAACGGGCCCTGTGACACGTAGCAAGTCCCAGGCGATGGCGTCATTCAAATTTCAGCAAGATGTGGTGAAAACTAATCCTGCAACACCGGCGAACGTGAAAACTGAACATGTCAAAAACCTTGACATTGTTCCAGAGAAGGCTCCACCACCAGATTTACTTCGTTCTATCTATGATGCTTACTCTAGTGTCGGCTCACCCCCAGAGTCACCACGTCACACTTCGGAGCAATCAATCACTTCAAGGAACGTGGATTCTCAAGGCCTATCATACTCAGATGTGGTTGCTGCTATGATGACTGGAGCTGCTACGATGGAGGAACAACTAGTAACTATGGCTCATTCCATTGAGAACCTCACAAAGACTATTGAAGAAAAGGACTTGCAAATCGCTACACTAATAAATAAATTGGAAGTTCAGACCTTCGGTGAAACACCAATGCCATCCGGGAATCGTGCAACTTTCACACCACCACCATCTGGGAAACCTACATCTTCCACAGCAATACTAACGGAGAATCCTAATTCTACAGCACAAGGTACTCACAGGGAGAATCCCAAACAAACGCCGGTGACAGAACAAGCGACCAGTCAAAACCAGACGCCGGGGATAGAACAGGCGACTGGTCAAACCAATCATACCTCTTCTTCAGTCTCTTCATTATCTGTCGAACAATTGCAAGATATGATAACGAATACAATCCGAGCTCAATATGGTGGTGTCTCACAGAGCACTCTCATGTACTCAAAGCCCTATACAAGGAGAATCGACAGTATGAGAATGCATGTAGGATACCAACCTCCGAAGATTCAGCAATTTGACGGAAAAGGTAACCCCAAGCAACACATTGCCCATTTTGTCGAGACTTGTAACAATGCCGGAACAGAGGGGGACTTACTAGTCAAACAGTTTGTCCGGTCCCTTAAAGGAAATGCGTTCGAGTGGTACACTGACCTAAAGTCAGAATCAATTGATAATTGGGACCAGATGGAACGAGAATTCTTGAATAGTATCTATAGCACTCGTCGTACTGTTAGTGTGATAGAGTTGACTAACACGAAGCAATGGAAGGATGAGTCTGTAATCGACTATATTAATCGGTGGAGAGCCCTCAGTCTTGACTGCAAGGACCGTTTGTCAGAAGTATCTGCTGTGGAGATGTGTATGCAGGGAATGCATTGGGGCCTGCTCTACATTCTGTAAGGCATAAAACCTCGCACATTTGAGGAATTGGCTACGCGTGCCCATGACATGGAGATCAGTATGAAATCCCATGACGGCAAAAGTACCATGACTATAGAACCACGCAAAGATAAGAAGGACTGGAAGAAGGGCGACAAGTCATCAAAAAATGCGACTAAAGATTCAATGGCTATCTCAACCACCCCAATCAAGATATCTGTTAAAGATGATAAGAAGGATGATAAAAAGCCTCGCCAGTTTCAAGAGAGAGAGAGACAGCGTCCTACGCTAAAGGAGTTAGAGAAGAAAGAATACCCCTTCCCCGATTCCGATGTTCCTGGCATCTTGGAATGTTTACTTGAAAGTAAAGTTATAGAACTCCCTGAATGCAAACGTCCTCCAGAGATGGGACGTATCAACGATCCAAAATACTGCAAATATCATCGCATTATCAATCATCCAATTGAGAAGTGTTTTATCTTTGATGCGACCCGAGCGTGTGCACAAAATAATGCACAACACTTTGGTTTTGGAAATGGTATCAAGCGGGCATCATAGTTTACATTTGTAAACCGCTAGACACTTATACTATGTAGTATGAAGTGAGAAGGGATCGAACTCAAGGGATTGAACACGTGTTGGGACTAAACTTGATTTTAATGCTAATTAGATTGTAAAAGAGAGAAGAGAGAGAGAGAGAAAGAGTGTGAGAGAAAAATATTTTGGTGGAGTGATTAAACTAAAATTCAATTAAAAGTATGAAAATAAAAATGACATTAAACTAAGAATTAAAGAGATAGGAAGAGAGTCTTAGGGTTAGGATTCACCACTAAGCCCATGCAATTAACCATATGCTTTCAATTAATGGGGAATTTATTAGTGTAATTATAGATGTGGTCACATTATCATCACAAATCACAATTGTAAGCATAGATTATCAACATCAAGAATGAATTGTCTACCTAATGACAATTAAACTAAAGTGTAGAACCCATTCAAGACTACGTCATAACCCACCATACACATTCACAAATGTATCCAATAAGAGCACACATCAATCAAGAAGATAATACTAATTGTAATTAGAAGCATGGATTAAAATAATCAAGCACAGATTGCTTACTTTACTACAATTAACTAATGACAAATAAGCTAATTTGTAAAACAATCTATCATGATTAAGCCTTTATCCATCAAATTAATTGACAATTGTATCAACTAAGTCTCATGCTATGGCCATCACTAAACACAACTAAAAGAAGTATCTAGTGTAGAGTATAATTCTAAATCAATCACACCTAGACATGCAATTTTCATATAGAATCAATGGAAGAATTAAATTCTAATCATCTAATGAAGAATAAAATCCCTAATTAATCATACATAGACATACAATCAATTGGAGATTTCAATGGAAGAATTTATCAATACAAACCCTAATTTATCAAATCAAGCATGTATATATTAAGAAATCGCAAGGCCATACAATTTAATTACAACATAATAATTCCCTAAGAAAAGAAATACAAAGGTTAGGGTTACATGAACTTAGGGCTCATCCAAGCCCTAAGTGAAGAACTAGCTCATGGAGGAGATGATCATGGTGTCAACAAGTCCTATCTCCATCTTTTGGCCCTTCTTCTTCTTCCTTCAACTGTAGACAAAGCCTCTGTAAAAAATATTCTTAAAACCCTCGCTTTTTTTCTTCCTTTCGTTTTCTTCCAGAGAGAACGATATCACGATACAGATTAAAAAAATAATAAAATAAAACTTAATTCCCCAAATAATAAATCACTAAACTAATAAATACTAACCCTAAAAACAATGGGCCTCACTGGGCTTAAGTAATAAACCTATTAAAGCCCACTAGGTTACAAAATAAGCTCAAACATTAAAATAAAAATATGTAATGTTGCCAAGTCCTGGGGGATTGATCCCCCACCATGGGGGATCGATCCCCCAGAGTTGGAAAATTCCTTTAAGCCTTATTCAGCTCCATTTTTGCCCCGGGGTATTTGGTTTGCTTCTCCATCTTTGGGAACATCATCAAAGGCCCGAGATTGACCGCTTTGTGCCATTTTCTGAAAATCTTTGCTTAACTCCAAAAAGGCTTAATTGGACCGTTCTTAGTTCATTTTAACTTTATTACCCTGAAATACACATAAATATAAATTTGGACTAAAACATAAACTTAAGATAGATGTAAAGACTGAAATACCCTAGCTTAGGTGCTGAAATGTGCAACATTTAAGCACTTATCACACCCCCAAACTTAGATATTGCTAGTCCCTAGCAATGAACTACAACATGGAAATGAAACAAACATATATACAACTATGAACTAATTAAGCAAATAAAGATAACACCACTTTTGTAGGGATCACGGTTGCATTTAGCATATGCAACAAGCCTTTTAAACCCCTAGGTTACCCCTAGTGGACGAGTGAAGTCTCGTGAGGGTTTCCAGAAATGGTACCCACAAACATCAACAGCTCTTTCTTACTTGAGAAGTAACGACACATATCAAATAAGTGTTTAAAGTAGACTACTTCAAGTATGCAAATTTCTGCCATTTCTAAGCTATTCTCAATATTTCAACATCATGTAAGCAAAAATGGTCCTCCACACATCAAGCAAGTTAATCATGCAAATTAAATCAATTTTATCATCCTTTTTGAGTGAACCAGCATCAAAATGTGTTACCATCCTAGCAAATCAAAGTAATGGCGTAGCCTTACCCTTAAACTAGCATACAGATATAGTACCAGACATCAAGACATTTAATGAACCTTGTTATTCAATCAAACATTTTTTTTTTATTTTTTTTTATTTATTTATTATTATTATTTTTTTTTTTTATGTATGACCATGTGCAATGTTCAAGTTCCTTAAGCTCTCTAATCACCCCATGTAACAAGTGTTGAGCCAACGACTCCCAAACCAGATGGTCTTAGGGCGTTAAGTGTAAAGACACTCCCAATGGCGTAATGACTCGGAATGGCTAGGTTACGAACTCAAACTAATCATACATCTTACATTCTTTCCTTGTCTTCCTTTTTAATCAGTTGACATGTTGAAAGAATGCAGTTTTTTTTTTTTTTTTTTTTTTTTTCTCACCTTTGGTGAGTACTTTTATTTCTTTTCTGCAAGGTCATTTTATCAAGAATGAAAGCTTTCAAAACATACTAGCTCAATTGGGATAAACCAAGACAATAATCAACTAAGCATGTACCCCACAAATTGAATGCTAGTGTGCGCAAGTGCAAATGTAAAATTGTAGAATCAACTCTCAAAGCATTTTCAACCAATAAGATGATGTGTACCACAAAAGCAAACATGATGTCAAAAATTAAAATTTACCCCTAAATGGCATCCTAGAGCATACAAGAAGTATTAGACTCTAACAACTTGTTTTTTAAAGGCACTATGCTTCAAAAGTTCAAAATCATTGCCAAATATATCTCAAATCTCAATCATGCATTTAAAGCTCAACTTAAAGTAGAATGTAACAAGGCTACCTTACCCCCAAACTTAAACTGCACATTGTCCTCAATGTGCAATGAGAACAATGAAAGAAATGGAAAGAGTATACCATGATGGCAAAAGTTAATGACGCCCGACAATGATCCATGACGAAAGAGGTCTCCCCCAAACTTGGATGCAAAAACCTACTAGAAAAGCCACACTAGCAACTCACATCAAATATCAAATGGGATAAGTAAAGCATACATTCTAAAACAATATAGAATAAGATGTAAAGAGATATGATATCAAGCCCTTTGTAAAAGGTGAAAACATGCATAACTAAGCAGAAGGGCATAACGGGAACACATATTTTTGAAATTTTTTATTTTTTATTATTATTATTATTTTTTTTTGCTTTGTTTTTTTTTTTTTTTTTTTAATTTTATTTGAAAAGAAATAAAGAAAAAAAATATGTATATACAACCTAGAAAATAAATAAATAAATAAATAATGGGTTAAGTTTAACGTCTCTAGCAAGACGGAATGATACTTTGCAAAAAATCTGAACAGCTTAAAATAGACAAAAGAAATCATGCATCAGGTGGCAATGTGGAATTGCGTGGGAGACTCAATGAAACAATCTCATATAGATCTCGTAGCATGCGCTGGGTAGTGGTGTGCTGCTGTATAAGCTCAACATGCTCGACTCGATGCTGCTCTCGAGATTCAGCCAACTCGGTCCTCAACTGCCCCACAATGGCATTGAACTCTGCCCTAGTCACCCCTGCAAACTCCTCTGCATGTGGTGACACAGCCTGTGCTATCTCATAAGTAACACCATCAGCAATCTGTTCCTCAGACCTCCCAACGACGTCCTCAACCAGGGCATTCACGTCCTCTCTAGCACCTGCTACCATGCCATCACCTTTCTTCTTGGCACTAGGCATATGAGAAAGGCTTAAGTTCCACTGTGCTAGCCTAAAAGTCACCTGTAGAGCCTCAGAGATCTCATCATTATCAACCACGAAGCGCCGAAGGACAAGGAGCTGGGTAATAAGATACGGAAACGGAAGTTTCCATTTTTTCGCATTCGGATCCCCACTCGCCACTAAATGCTTCCAATATTTATGCATCTGGTTAAAGACGAAAGCTGGAACAGAAAACCATGTTCCAGTGTGGGTAGCATACAATGCTATTAAGAACTCTTGTCCCCGCTGTACCTTATGACCTATTGGAAAAACATTCCGTTTCAGAACCTGATCGAAAAACCACATATCCTTAGGTAGTGAGGACTTGCTGGCACAATTCTTCTTCTTCTTGTTACCATACTTCCCGTCACACATATCTTTAACAATAGAATGCACAGTAGGTTTTTTCAAGAATTTGCCAAAACGTAGCTCCCCATTCTCTGCTAGCAAGTCAGTGGGGCACAAATGTGGACACCCCAATGCCTGGGCTATGTCCAAGACACCAAAGTGAAATTGGACACCATCAATGGTTGTAACTAATATGTCCGGCACATCACTAAACCATTCCATATTCTGATAAAACAGGCGCACAATACGGGGATAGACAACCTCTGTAGCTGGTCTAAAAAGGCAGGACAAACGCCTCCTTTCAAATTCTAACACCGCCCATTTAGTCGTGTCATTGTGGCGAAACGTACCTTCAATGTCGAAGGTAGTCTCAAAATCCAGACGTTTGTTGCGCCACACAACTTTGGGAGTCTCTTTGGAGGGTTTGAAACGTTTGGAAGAAGAAACACGAGTCATTTCTTAAGATTGAAATATATGGGAAGTAGTCCAAAATCAATAACCCTACTTCAATGACAAATATTTTTTTTTTAAATCATCAATTCAAATTTTTATGAACTTTTTTTTTTAACAACAATTCAACTGTTTTTTTTTTTTTTTTTTTTTTAAGTCATCAATGTAAAAAAAAAAAAAAAAATGGAAACTGAAACCCAATTAACAACTCACAAACTTGCCAAAATCAGCACTTACCCACATACTTGCCGGAGAAAACCCAGTCAAAAGCCGCCGGAAACGATGAAGAAACCAAATCAAAATCTAGCCAAAATCGCTGGAGGGCACAGCCAGTTGCAACGCCGGAAAAATAAAGGGCGAGTCTCAAACAGCGCCGGAATTTAAGCCCAGCCGGAAAGAGCCGCCGCGATCGCTATTGGAAGAACCAGACGCCGGAATTGCTGAAGAAGAAGCAGCCGCAACGCCGGAGTATGATGTCGATGTAGCCGCGACCAGCCGCGATTGCTGGAAGAAAAGGGACGCCGATGCAGCAGGTGCGGCGAAGAAACCAGCCGAATTGCCGGCTAACGAACCCAGAAAACTCGCTGGACGAAACGGCGATTCAGCCGTGACGACGTGGGAAGAAGCAGTCGAGACGGCGTTGAGAGGGACGATGGAAAAGAAATCGCCGGCGAACAGCGACGCCGATGCGGTCGTTGCTGTACGAACCAGCCTTGATATCGCCGGAAAGAACAGCGAATAGCCTCGACCCAGCCAAGATCGCTGGAGAACTCGGCGACCTCAAATTCGGTAACCTAGAACCATGGTGCCACAAAGACCCAGCAGCAACCGCCGTTGAACAGGGACGCTGGAAATCAAAATCGCCGTTGAACCGTCAACAACGTGGAAGAGAGGATCGAACAGAGAGAGACGGTTGAAGAACTGGAGAGTTTGGATTTGGGTTAAGAGATAGGGTAAGGCAGGGAATGAATGGGGATCGATCTCCTTTACTTGGGGATCGATATTTTTATGCCGAAAGTTCTCCTCTCACTGTGTAATGTGATAAATTGGTAGGGAATCGATCCCCTTGGTTTGGGGATCGATCCACGTGGCCTTTTTTTTTTGCTAGTCTGTGTCAGAAAAATGGGATCGATTTCCCACCCATTTTAGGGATCGATCTTCTTTTTTTTTTTTTTTTTTTAAGCAAAAATTAAAAATACTATATACACTAATATAGATAAAATAAAATAAAATAAATAATAATAAATAAAATTACAAAGCAACCTATATGAACTAGTACTATTTTTTTTTACTCTTTTTTTTTTAATTTAAGCAAAACGAAAAATATATATACTAAAATGAAATATATATAAAAATAAAATCAAAAATAAAAAAATAAAAAAAATAATAGTACTAAAAATTATAATAAAATCAAATACTAACCTAAACTACCCATCACAACATTTTTTATTTTATTTTGTTATTTATTTATTTTTCTTTTTGAATTTAAAAATGCATAAATGTACAAACGGAAAAGAAAATAAAATAAAAATAAAATGCAATTTTTTTTATTTTTTTTATTATTATTATTTTTTTTTCAAATCAACGAAAAACTAGTGTTTAACGTCTCTAACAAGACGTTGGGGCGACTCACTAGTCGAAAGAATCAAAAACCGGATATGAGACATCCTCATTGATCCGTTTATCTATTTTCCCCAATGGATGTTCTCTCACAACAATGAATACATCTCCTAAAAGAATGATTTGGAAAGAAATGATGGAAGATGCAATTTGTTCCCTTTCATCCACAGTCTTGAAGATAAAGTCCATCATGATCAGCCTTGCACTTGGCAAGGTAATGTCTTTCAAAGACTCGGTTGGATTATTAGAAAACTCAATCTCTTCATCATTTTTGTCAACTTCCACATTGATCACTTTCTCCTCCTTCACTAAGGTCGCCTCAATGACTTCATACTCAATATTATAAGGAATGTCCTCATAAATTGGATTGGCCATTGGCGTACTTACCACTTCTTCCTCTTCTTGATAAGAAAGAGTACTTGCGATTGAAGGGAGAGGTTCTTTTGAGTTTTTCCATGGCGGGAAGTTTAAGATGGCTACAGAATCCATTAGAGAATTCATTTCATATATGGAGCTTTCAATGTCAAATGCGTCCATGTTGAAGTGAGAGAGGCATGCCTCAAGAGGATCTTCAGAAGGAATGGAAGGAATGACTTCTTCAACAATTTCATCCAAGATATTCACCATGAAACACTCGCCTTCATTGATAGGATGTTGGCTCGTGTTAAACACATTAAGCTTAACCATTATATTGCCAAAAGAGATGTCCATAATGCCGGACCTACAATTGATTGTCGCATTAGCGGTGGCAAGAAATGGTTTTCCTAAAATGATGGGAATGTAAATGGTAGGATTGGGAACCGGCTCAGTGTCAAGCACAACAAAATCAACCGGGAAATAGAATTTATCGACTTTGATGAGGATGTCCTCAACAATTCCCCTTGGTTGTTTTGTAGACCTATCGGCAAGTTGAATAACTACCGAAGTTGGCTTAAGATTTCCCAAACCTAATTGAAGATACACGGAGTAAGGAATAACGTTAACACTAGCCCCTAAGTCAAGAAGTGCCCTTTTTACCTCATGGTTCCCTATGGTACAAGAGATGGTTGGAGCGCCAAGGTCTTTGAACTTAGGTGGGGTGCTAAGCTTAATGATAGAGCTTACTTGCTCCGTGAGAAGTACTTTCTTTGGGCTTGGTCCCTTGTTCTTCTTCTTTTGAGTACACAAGTCCTTCAAGAACTTGGCATATGGTGGAATTTGGCGAATAGCATCAAGAAGAGGAAGGTTGATTTTAACTTGTTCAAAAACTTCCATCATGTCATGGATTTTTCCTTCTTGCCTCGAAAATGGAGTAGAGTTTAAAGCTTGAGGAAATGGAGCTTTTGGCTCATAAGGCTTCTCTACATGGGAGGAAGATGATGATGATGGAATTGGCTCCTTAATGTGACCATTTGACTCTAGTGAAGTAGGAATGGAATTGGGAATTGTAGACGAGCTAACACTTGGTTGCATTGGAACACTTATTTCACTAGGTCTCTCAACTTTCTTATCAATTTTTCTCCCACTCCTCAAGGTGGAAATGGAGTATGCCTTTCGGTTAATCTCAGGTTGAATAGGCCCTTTCTCTTTTATTGATTTAGCCATTTGCCCAATTTGGGCTTCAAGTTTTGCAATTGATTGAGAATGTGAATGAAACACTTGATTTTCTTTTTGAAGATCACCCAAAGCTTCTAAAACCTTATCCTCAAAAGTGGGATTCCTAGGAGGCTCTTGAGGTGGATGAGAATAAGATTGATGATTTGAAGAATGAGAATTAGAGAATTGATTCACATTTGGAAGATGATAAGATGGAGAGTGGTATGCTTGAGAATTTGCATTTCGGAGGTGGGGAGGCACATACTTTTCTTGGGAATTTTTATGAATAGGAGGAATGATACCTCCTCCTTGATTTCTCCAAGAAAAGTTAGGATCACTCCATCCAGAATTGTAGGAGTTAGAATTTGATTACTTCCCGGATGAATGAAAACAACATTGACTTGTTCTTGATACTCATTCGGAAAAACTTGTCCAAGAGGACAATTGAAAGTATTGTGAGTATAACTAGAGCAAGTCATGCACATCACATTTTGAGAATGGAAAGAGTTGGATGATTGAATTGCCGGGTTTTGGCTCAAAAGAAATTTATCAAACCTTTGAGTAAGATTTTTGACTTCGGCGGCAATTTCCATGGAACTTTCCACTTGAGAAAGACTGGAGGTTTTCTTCCCTCCTTCATTCAAGTTTTGGCCAAATCGGGACGATGAAGAACGATGCATTGAATTTTCGCTCATGCGATCAAAAAGATGCCACACATCATCTTCATTTTTGTCCAAATAGGCTCCTCCACATGAAGCATCAACTATACCTTTTTGGGTATCGGATAAGCTTTCATAGAAGCAACGAACTAATTGCCACTTAGGAATGTCGTGATGTGGACACTTCCGTAGCAAATCGTTCAAACGCTCCCATGCTTCATGCAAAGGTTCTCCCTCATTTTGGGAGAATTCACGGATAGAAGCTCTCATAGCATCGGTTCTACTTGCGGGGTAAATTTTTTTTAGGAATTCATAATGTAGTTGAGCCCAAGATGTGATTGAATTTGCCCTCAAGTTATTGAACCAATATTTAGCCTTTTCCCGAAGAGTGAAGGGGAAAAACTTCATTTTTAAGACTTCTTCCGGAAGGTCCGTGATTTTCACGGTTGAACAAACTTCCAAAAACTCATCTAAATGTTTATGTGGTTCTTCATTGTTTACCCCATAGAAAATGGGGCACATTTGGATGGTTGCGGGCTTGATTTCATAATGGGTTGCCCGAAAGTTTGGCAACCTGATGCATGTTGGTGCATTGTATTCATTTGGAGTGTAGTGATCCCGAAGAGATAATTTAGGATTTGGGGGATAAACTACATGATCTTGAGGATGGATTTGTATTATTGGAGGTTGTTGCATTTGATTAGGTTGTGGAAACACATTAGGATGTGGAATTCTTAAGGATGGATGCACACCTTGAGGTGGATGCCCATTAAGAGGGTGATACTCACCTAGATTATCCATATGCCCTAGATTTTAGAATTGGTTTTCCATTAAATGTGGGATAATCAAGAATGGGAAGAATTTTCCTAGAAACAACAAACCACAACAACAATCAACAATAATTCACAACCTCCACATACGATGTTCCCATACTCCCATGTTATATTAATGCACAAAATTAAATTGCCTCCACACGGGCCGATGCTTTCTATCAAGAAAGTAATAGCCTCCTTTTGGGCTTATGCTTGGACAAGAATTTAAACAATGTGATAGCCTCGACAAGGGCTATCTTGCAAGCATGTAGAGAATTGAACAATTATAGTAAAAGAAATTCAAGGAAGCTCACGAAAGTCTGTAGCAACAATGTCACAATGGCGCCAATATCCAATGCTTGCTCCTCTTCTTTTCAAGTACCTAATTGAACAAGAGGGATTTGTAAGAAAATAGTAATTTTAAGAAAACAATCAAATTAGCCCTAATACCTAATTCAATTCCAACTAAACCGTCTATCCCCGGCAACGGCGCCAAAATTATGATGCGACCCGAGCGTGTGCACAAAATAATGCACAACACTTTGGTTTTGGAAATGGTATCAAGCGGGCATCATAGTTTACATTTGTAAACCGCTAGACACTTATACTATGTAGTATGAAGTGAGAAGGGATCGAACTCAAGGGATTGAACACGTGTTGGGACTAAACTTGATTTTAATGCTAATTAGATTGTAAAAGAGAGAAGAGAGAGAGAGAGAGAAAGAGTGTGAGAGAAAAATATTTTGGTGGAGTGATTAAACTAAAATTCAATTAAAAGTATGAAAATAAAAATGACATTAAACTAAGAATTAAAAAGATAGGAAGAGAGTCTTAGGGTTAGGATTCACCACTAAGCCCATGCAATTAACCATATGCTTTTAATTAATGGGGAATTTATTAGTGTAATTATAGATGTGGTCACATTATCATCACAAATCACAATTGTAAGCATAGATTATCAACATCAAGAATGAATTGTCTACCTAATGACAATTAAACTAAAGTGTAGAACCCATTCAAGACTACGTCATAACCCACCATACACATTCACAAATGTATCCAATAAGAGCACACATCAATCAAGAAGATAATACTAATTGTAATTAGAAGCATGGATTAAAATAATCAAGCACAGATTGCCTACTTTACTACAATTAACTAATGACAAATAAGCTAATTTGTAAAACAATCTATCATGATTAAGCCTTTATCCATCAAATTAATTGACAATTGTATCAACTAAGTCTCATGCTATGGCCATCACTAAACACAACTAAAAGAAGTATCTAGTGTAGAGTATAATTCTAAATCAATCACACCTAGACATGCAATTTTCATATAGAATCAATGGAAGAATTAAATTCTAATCATCTAATGAAGAATAAAATCCCTAATTAATCATACATAGACATACAATCAATTGGAGATTTCAATGGAAGAATTTATCAATACAAACCCTAATTTATCAAATCAAGCATGTATATATTAAGAAATCGCAAGGCCATACAATTTAATTACAACATAATAATTCCCCAAGAAAAGAAATACAAAGGTTAGGGTTACATGAACTTAGGGCTCATCCAAGCCCTAAGTGAAGAACTAGCTCATGGAGGAGATGATCATGGTGTCAACAAGTCCTATCTCCATCTTTTGGCCCTTCTTCTTCTTCCTTCAACTGTAGACAAAGCCTCTGTAAAAAATATTCTTAAAACCCTCGCTTTTTTTGTTCCTTTCGTTTTCTTCCAGAGAGAACGATATCACGATACAGATTTAAAAAATAATAAAATAAAACTTAATTCCCCAAATAATAAATCACTAAACTAATAAATACTAACCCTAAAAACAATGGGCCTCACTGGGCTTAAGTAATAAACCTATTAAAGCCCACTAGGTTACAAAATAAGC